ATCAATGGACGAGTCAGGAGTTGAGGTTGTGACGAGTGGGGCTATAGATCCACTCACCAAAAATGAGGACGGCCGCGCAGTTGGCGGCACAGGTGTTGTGATGCGGCCGGAGACTCGCAAGGTCCTTGTGACACATGCACCCTTGTACTGGCCTGATGAGGTCAGTGCGTGCAATCCAGTCATGCAACAGAAGTGTACTTACATGGGGCTTGTGACGAGCAGATGAAGGCGCACCTCGCGGAGCTGGATGTCTACGTTGAGGAGTACCGCATTGAGAACGATAAGAAGACCAAGGGTGGGGTGCACTTACCTTGGTGTTGCGGCGAGGACCGCCAGGACTCAGAGTTGCCATCTCTCCAGGGAGCCACCATCAACTGCTTACTCATGCCACGCTGCATGATTTGTCCGGAATGGCTGGCTAGCGAGAAGGGGAAGAAGCAGGACGACAATGATCCAGACATGGACATGGAGGCACAGGAAGGTAGATGTGCAGCAAGGAGGAAACGAGCAGGTGCAGCAGCAAGATGAGGTAGACGTGCAAGTGGGAATGGGAGGAGATGATGGGGATGGCTACAATGGGGACTCCGAAGCGACATGATGGGGGTAAGAGGTGTGCTACAAAGCGCGCTGTTGAAGCGCTGAGTGACTCATTCATCTGTGTCATATTCTTGGTCCGTTTGATCCAGTTCCTGTGCATCCTGTAATATGTTCTGACTTCAGACAAGCTACACGAGCAATGACACTTGGGTGAAGAGGGCCATGGCTGGCAGGTCCGATTGATGAAGGTACACATTGTTAGTGACATGTTGATACAAAATGACATTCACAGAAATGTATCACAATGTTGTTTCAAGTCTTTTCTAGAGATGTATCACACTGCTCTACTTTATGGATTCTAAAACAACTTTATATCCCTTTTGGACTAAGAATTCAGATGCAATAATGCATTAATATCTGGCATAGCACAAGTTGTAGTTACAATATTGTTATGTCTGGTAAGTATGGGCCTGTGCTATCTTCTGATCATTCACATGTTTTGATAATGCATAGGATTTCCTACTAGTTCAGCACAACAGCATCATAATAATCTATATGTTGTTGATTAGAGTAACAGTCTAAGCTTACTCAAACTGCCCAGGGTACTCAGCCATAACATCACTCATGCCACTTGTAAATCCTTGTGTCACAATGATGCAGATATCCTTATTCAATAGTACTGCTTATCATCAACTACATATTATTTCATGCCTAGCTAACCAGCCCTGCAGATGACAGCCTGATAGTATTTTTGATCATCTCTTAGTATGCACAGATGAGTTTGTAAACTTAGCCACATTAGAAAATAACAGTCATTCCATTGACTGTTGATCAAGATTCTCCATTGGTATTAGTACTGTATAAAGCCTAGAAAAGTAAGAGTTTTACCCATACACCAGCTTGATCTGCTCTACAAAATTTCGACAAGGCATCCCATCATTGTAGCTATTTCCAGAGCATGCAATAGATCAGACATACCTGGATCAAGATCTTTATTGAATAGTTCTTCAATGCATGGCCTTCTCCTGTTTATTAGATGGGAATTATCTTCTAATCTATTTATTTTTAAGGGGTTGGGAAGCAATTCTCTCATGCTTACAATATTCCTGCCATTTGAAGGGCAACAGGGCAATGTTCAGCAAGACAGCTTTGTTAGGTCTTCTATCATTATTTGATATCCTCAGATATAGATTAAGCCATAAAAAGCACTTTGTTTGGGTGTAGACAATAAATCATTTTGTTTTCCGTGATTTCTGTCACCCCGGGCTTGTCCTGGATGACTTCCCACAATGGTATTACAATTGGCGCCCAATCTGATGCTAGAAATCCTATTGTGGCTTGCAACCACTTGCAAACATTATTGTAGGTTAGAAATAGCCTGCAACACTTGGCTATAGAGAAGAATAGACACAATAGAGACACAAACACATTTTAAGCGGGAAACGGGCCCTAAGCGCTCGTTTGGCGCCCATAAGTCCTACCCAACAGACCCAAATAGGGAGGGTCAAACCTTTTTTTGATACTCGCGTATATTTTTCAAAGTTTCCTCCCTCCGGCCGGCCCACCCACCCCTCTCCCCTAGGCTCTGTGTCAGCGCTTGTTGAATTTGATACCCCTTGATCTGATAGTATATAATACTTGCTATTATGCTTAGGAAGACACTGACCTAGACTTACATTGATCCCCATTAGTGACAGATTGTGACCCAGAGTCACTTATGGTGGGTTGGTTGGCTTGTAGCACTCCCATATGTGCTCAGTATCCTATACAAACACCCCCATTGCATTCTCCTCATCAACACTTTCTGGTGATATATAATAGTGGTATGTTACACCATACACTTGTCTATTAATGAGCACATTATGTTGAGCTGTGGCTGAAAACAAACAAAGCCAAAGCTAGTGGCACGACAACGCGGAATCGCGTCGGCGTGCCATTGGCTTTGGTCTTGTTTGGCTCCAAACAGAGAAGGGTCAATATCTTGGCTTCTGCTTGTCCAAATGGGACATATAACATATTGCCAGGAAGCTGTTGACAAGGAGAATCCATCTGTGCAAACAAATCAAGGATGTGGTGACAGTGGAATAAGATATGGACTAGATATATTTCCATTAGTGCCACAATTGGCAATAAGCGCTAGTGGCCTGGCATATTCATCAAATGGTCAAGTATTATATACTATTGGGCTCAGAATATTGATCTCTATTCAATGGTGATGCTATGATACTAGTGTACCCAGAAAATTCCGCTATACAAGCAATGTAATACCTCAATACAACACTAGAAAGAGGTAAGTGGGCATGATTAAACCCATATCTCTGTCCGTTTTTGGTATATATACATTATTGTTTCTGCAGTCGTCCTAGTACCAAGACAGCAATGTCATGTAGACACATCATAAATTCCTGGGCACACTGTGGGCTCTATAACCAACAACAGGAGCAGTATTGGGCCTACAAAG